TCGGAGGGCCGCCGCCTCCCGGGCCGGGGGGAGCGGGGGGGTGCCGGTCCCGCAGCGAGGGTGTGCGCGGGGGCGCGTACCCGGGACGGGCTGGCAGCTCAGTTCGCATCCCTGCCAGCGTGCGGTGGCCTCCCCGTGCCCACGGGTCCCGAGGATGCCCCTTGCTGGAAGACGAGGGTAAGTGGTGTGCGGCAGCTGCGCACTCCGAAACACCCGGAGGCGGCGGCCTGTGTGGCCCAGCACGAAGTAAGCCAGGACTGGTGGCTGCAGGGCAGCAGAGCCGGTGCTGACTTAGCTCATGGTGAGGCTCCAGAAGGTTAGTTTCCACAGAGTTCCATGACAACTAGATAGCAAACCCGCCGTGACTCCCTCATGATAGTAAGTCATTTACTTTGGTAACTCTGAAGATAAAGCCTTGATTTCCAGAGTCCCACACAGATACTGTAATACACCGATCACATCAGTTGGCTTTTGGCAAGAAAATGCCAGGGGGAGGAAAGGAAATCCCATCACATTCCTTTTGTTTTCCTTGTAGATACCGCTGAAGTACTTGCTTTCCACCGATTTCCTCGTTTAACTTGCCCTTGGGGTCAGCTGACCATCAGCATGCCTTCTACTGAGAACACCTCAAAACTTTTCCTGGTCCTCGTTTCATTGCTGGTGGTGCTGCCAGTAGTTGAGGCCCTTGACACAGGAGATGCCATCGCCTTCCTACTAGGCCTCGCTGTCAGTGTCGTCGGATTCTGTGCCTGTCTTGGCTTGTACGCAAGGAAAAGGAATGGGCAGCAATGATTTCAAGAAGATGCTCAGATGAATTGAATTTCCAGACACGCCGTGTCTGGGATTTAAGACTTGAGTTTTGATTCGGGATAACTTTAAAACCCATGTAGTAGGTATTTCTGCAAGCCCCTCTTACTGTGCAATACAGCAGAATCAAGACTGTACCCAGTAAAAGGGCTTTGTAGGATCTGTCCTCATGGTAGTAGGATGTTTTAATATTGCTTGTGATTAAATACTGCCTTAGAGAAGGGTAAGAACTTTCTGAATGGGGAAGGAAAACCATAGAGTGGTTCACAGTGTTTATAAATGGAACATGTGAGGGAGACCTTCAACAAGTTCCACAATTTTGGTTTCAAAGGTTAATCAGGAGGAAGCAGCTATTCCAGTCAGGATGACAGAGCTTTGGAAGTACTCCTAACTAGCTAGCTAGCGAGCAGACTGCTTTGACTTCCATGCACGTGCTCGCATTCTTTGTAATGACAGTTAACACCTAACAGCTCACTTTTGCTGTCACAGGGATGAGACTTCAGAGAACTAAGAAAATAATGGAAAACTTTTTCTTATGTATTTCTTTTTTAGAATATGCCTCCCCTGTAGCCGGTGTTCTTGTTATCAAGTAGATATACTTAAGAATGGGGCCACTATTTTTCTTTAACATGTGTTGGACAGAAAAGTACATGTGAGGCTACGTAAATCAGATTAGGGATATGGTTTTTGTTTCTTGTTTATTTTTTGTGCTTGGCTTTCCTTTAGGCACAGCAGGTTTAAGGCATATTTCATTTGGTGCTTCTATTTTTTTTTCCCAAAACTGAAGACTTACCCATTTTAATGAGGAGTTATGTGTGGTATTTCTGCATTAGGGGGTTATTAGAATTATAACAAGACCACTGTGTGTGTTTCTTTTGCAATATGGAAAGAACGTGTTTTGTTAAAACCCTAGTTTTAGTCAACAGGTCCATTGTTCTCAGGTGTCTTCCTCATGACCAAGTTATGTTGCTAGCTTAATATTTAGTCTTCTTGCCTAACTGATGTATATGAGTTCCACAAAAGATTAGGACCAAAACCAAATTAAAAAATCATGATACAATATGGGAGATGTAAATAGTCTTAATTCTATTCATGCTCAGTCAGATTGCATGGTATATGGTTGAAAGACTCTACTCAGTAGTGTATCCAGGACCTATTTCTTTAAGTACCAAAGGTGAAATGGCACAGTGAAGAATGTCTACCACAAGTCCCTCTCGCTTATTAGAGTATTCCAGCTGTTCGCATGAGACAAGGAGCACAATCTGTGCAGAAGGAGCGGCAGAGTAAGGAGGATAGGAAGGTGAGCTCTCCACAATACACAGAATTTCCTTCTGATCTTGTGCTGTGGACACTGCCACTCTTGCTAGAAATCTTGGCTTTTATCTTTCAGAGCTGGGGAAAAAGGTTAAAGATATTGCAGGACTATATGTTTTGGTACTATTCCTCCCCTTCCTCTGTAAATCTCTGTTCAGTAGAACACACAGCAATGGCTAGAAGAGTTATGAGGCAGGTCTTATATAAGTAATTGGGTGGGCAGATCATGTTCTCCATATTCCAAGATTTCTGTATGCCATTTGTGACTGGTTTGACTTTTCCAGCCTCTGAGAAGACACAAGCCCTGGTTATTTCAGTCTTGCAATGTACCACTCTTATGATTGATAGAGGGAGGAAGGTAAAGTGAAAGCTTCCAGAATTGCGTGGGGTTGAAACTGTAGGAGTCAACCCAGCAAGCCACAAGAATATAGGTTTCTGCTCTCAAGTTACAGAAATAATAATGGTCACAAAGTTACTCTGGTGAGATGCAAGTCATACCACATATCTGTTCTTAAACCCTTTCTGTGGCTTCCAAAAGTCAGAAAGGGACATGGTGCACGATTACTATGTACAAATGAAATTTAGAGCCTTAACAGGAGCTTCAGACATTAGTGTTGCCTTTGAAAGCTGCCTAGCAGCAGTAGATGATCCTGTATGTGATTATTCAACTGGGTGGATGCAAGCACACATCAAGTGTGATCTTCCATGTTCCAGCTTGGCTAAACTCTTACCCTTAAATGGCCAACCATAAAATGACCACTTGATTCACTTTTTTTTTTTTTTTTTTTTTTTTCTTCCCCAAAATTAGAGAATTTTGCCATTTTTTCAGTAGAATATTAAGTACAGCTCTTTCAATAGATTTAATCACACGCAGCTTTTCAAGACTCCTTTATCTTTACTTTGGAAAAGATCCCTGGCAACAGTTTCACTGCAGGAGAACAAAATTTTAGCAGAGTAATTAGCGTTAGGCAATAGGGATATGAAGAACTGTGTTCTTTGCCTGAAGCTGTATGTACTTCATTGAAGGATGTTTGCACAGCCTAATGGCGTTGTTTCCTGGGTTCTGACAGAAGCTTTATTGTTAAAGACTTGCATTTGTCAATGACTTGAGTATAAAATTGGATATCCCTGTTTTTCTTCTGTCTTAATAAACTTTCATGTATGATTTGTCATCAGCTTGATGAAGTAGTTCTTATGAAAAGGAAAATTGGGACGACAGAAATGACTGAAACTGCTGAAATTCCTTGTATTAAATACTATTTCTTACATACTTTTGCTTATGTTAGGTGACCTTACAAACTGATTTGTAAGGTGTGTTTTCAGTTGAACTTTTGTACACTGAGTGTACTTTTGGTCCTTATTACCTGTTTATCTCATTTCAAGATCAGTTACTTTAGAGCACTTCAAGGTAGCTGGTCCCCTTACTTTGAAACTGGCAGCTTGCCATTGTGGAGAAGGCTGTTTCTCAGGTACAGCAGACATGGAAGTATTTATTTTTCCTTTTGACTATGAATTTTCAACATTACTGTTATTTAGTTGCCTTTACACTAGAAAAGCCATTTGTGGCAGCTTTCTAGCTGGAGACCCAAGGATATAAAGACCTTTTTTTTTTTTTTTTCTAAAGAGAAATCATGTTCTAGAGCTTTGTAGTTATTTGAATGATACTTTTTCTTAGAATTCAAAAGAGCTTGTTTTATCACAGCATTTTATGAAAACGGGGTTCTAGCTCTTTTGGGACTTCAGCTAGTGCACAAAGCAGTTCATTTTGGCTGTCTTGAGAGCAGAAAGCAAAAATGGCCTGACAATGTCCACCTCTTAACAAATAAAACCTACCCTCTAATTAGTGCAAGAAAGCTGCAAGTCAGGAATGAGTAGCTTTTTACTGCTAGGATTTCCATCTGCTTTAACAATGGCTAGCTCAAAAGCAGCCATCCTGCAAACAAATATTTAACAGCCTGCATACAGTCCCTTTGTGAATGGACAGAAGTCCTTCACTCCTCATGGCGTACCTTCAAGTGCTGCACACCAGCGAGGTGTTAACCATACTGCTGGGTACAGCAGTGCTGGGGACTGGAATCCAAACACTTCACCCAGTTCCTAATGAACTTGCTTCTATGGGTGTATGAAAACTGGCAAACCACTGCTGTGAGACTTTTATCCCACTCAGCTAAATCCTGCTGCTGGTGGTGATGCCGCTTTAATACTATCGTGAGACTTGGCAATTCTATGGCATCTTCCATCTGAGAACCCTATTAATGTTTGTATCCCTATCATATCCTTTGATGAGTGGGACAAGTGGAAGGAGAGTCAGTGACTTGCAGTGGGATCGTGGGAAGGAGTGAGATTTCTGGAGTGTGTTGTGCTTGTGGTTCTCAGCTGCCATGCCCCTGCCATGCAAGCTGTCCCTGGACTAACCCAGAGGCTCTTGTGTATTGTCCAGAAACAGTCTGAAGCCCTGGTTCATCTTTGCACAACATTGTTTACATAAGCTTGTGAGACGGGAGTAGGGAGTTCACCATTTATAGTAAGATAAAACATGACTAAATGGATGAACCATAATAGGTCTGTTACCATAGTAAGTGCTCTAATCATTATACTACAAAAGTAACCTTTCCTTTCATTTTTATATCTGATGACAGGTTTGGCAGATCTAAACTGATGTAATAAGAGATTCTTAGGAGTGGTGGAAAGGAGGGCTTGGATCTGGTTGTCCTCCTGGTTGACACTTAAACAAATTGTTAGTAAATGATCTAAAGTCAACAGAAAGTGTGGATTGTTCACCAGATTAAAAAAAAATAAGACCACTAATTCTAAAACATGCAGCAAAACATACTGGGCAAGATTTGATGTGACTAAAGATGCACAGGAGACATTGCTTAATTCCTGCTGAAATCAATCTTCAAAACTTTTAAGGGACAAGTTTTAATACATTAGATACTGACCACACTGTTAAGTGTTAAATTGTCAAAGAATGTAACCAGTTTTGCAATTACAAAGATTTTCCGTACATACGAATACCCAGTAGCACCTAGATATTACATTTCCAATATTCAGAAAGCAGGCTTTCCAGCAAGCGAGCTGGAATTTACATACCAAGCTACGGTATGGTAAATACCATAAAAGCACATCTACTTTGAACTAAAATAAACGAGCAATAAAATTATATAGAAATGCAAAACATTTCCAATGCTGTATTGGTCTCTCTGGCTCAGTTTCTCTAATGAAATTTGAAAATACATGGGAGGTTCTGTCACATTAAGGTGCAGGCATACTAGACAGCATAGCATTTTGTTTCTGGAATATTCATCTGATCAGATCAGAACAGAGATTTTCATGAGAAAAACAAAACAAAACATCCCTTTAGAGTGATAAGCAAAGACATCTGTATAAGCTCTCAGTGTAAGTGGAGACCTGAACATGGAGTGGCCTCCAGCAGACCTAGAAGTTGAAACCATAAGAGGCAGGAAAGAAAGAATCGTGTCCCCAGACAGGCTATTGTAGAAAACTGGAGTTTGCTGCTGGGTATGGGTAAAAGTTTGTGTTCTGCTTGAGCCTTCCTGTATTGGCTGTATTCCTCCTCTCTGGTCTTTGTCTTGGAAGTTTTAACTGGAACCAACACTACCGGCATCCTCCCCAGCTGCCATTCATTGAAGGCACTAAAATGTGTGCACAGATCTCCGTACTGCTACTCAGCACTTTGCAAGTATAAAAGCATGAAAATTACCTTCTCTTCCTGAATGGAGTTAAAATGCTACAGCGTAACACAGTTCCATAAAACTTACTAGAGAAGGCTCTGTCTTTTCCTTTTGTTCTTCAGTTTGTGTGGCTCTTTGCACATATTGTGATGATACTAATCATAAATTACACAACTGCATGTCCCTTCCCTCCCTTCTCACAGAAAAGCAGCAGTCCTAAAACATGACCAATTTTAATCTTGGCATGATTAAAGAAAATTGTCACTTTTATCAAAATATGTCCACTTTCCATTTCATGAATTACCTGTGAAACAAGAATATCTTTACTTAATTCTAGAACTGTTCAAGGACATTTTCTGCCAACCTTTTTCTGATGGCTCTAGAAATTACATGGTCAATACCTGCATTATTTCTCAGACTTTAACCTAACATGATTTTTCATAAGTCACACGGTAGCAGTTTTAAACTTTATTTGAATCTATTCAAATGATCTAGAGGAATAGCAGAACCCATGTTGACTCATTTTTCCTCAAAAGTACATCTTTATTTCAGTGTCTGCAAGAATAGCGGAAACAATTACCCCCTTTTAAAGTCTGATCTTTTCAGAAAGGCCATTTGTGGTCAACTTCCAAAAGTTTGAGATTTGGAAACAGCATATCATCTATAGACTCTAACCTGTGTCTACTAAAAAAAAAAAAAAAGTTTCTTTTTCATAAAAAGCATATTGCAATGGGTCTTACCTAAGTCACTTTTCATCTCTCCATAAAAATTAAAGATGTTGATCATATATCTGGAGCAGTTGTCAATAAGAAACCAGTATTCAGCTATAAATGTCACACAGTCATGTTTTTCATTCTATTGTATTTGCAGAAAGAACATAAATACCAGAAACCATTACACATTAAGGGTAGGCAAAAAGTGCTTTTCCGAAAACAAGTCGGTGTTATCTAGTAATAATTATGGCCCTGGTGAAAATCTCAGTGAAGTCAGCTCAAAAAATTTTATTGTCCTAAAATGAAATCAAGCTCTCCTAAAGGGGAGACAAAACTGTCTTTTGAATCCCATGCAATTTTGCCACAACCATCTCCCATGCCAGGGTTATGGCAGCAGGCTGTCCTGATGCAAGGGATGCTGGATGACCTTAAATCCTGCCTGGGAAGTGGCAGACAGCTGGGTCTCTCCAGATGCCAAATGCATGCCCAGGACACTGCTACCCTCTTGCTCCACAGAGCCATCTCCTGCTGTGACAAAAGCCAGGTAGGTGATCTGGTATTTGTTTAGACATTCAGGAATAGCTGTGTGGCTTACACATCTTTAACCTTCATTCATACCACATTTCAAAAGTTAGTATTGTATTGAAGTTCTAAAGCTTGGACAACAGGCCCAGGCCAGAGTTGACCTATAGATGAATCCTGTATTTTTTATAACTGATAACCACTGTGCTAGTGGGTATTGTACTAAGTTATAACAAACCACCTATGCTGATGTAAAAAGTGCTAAAGTGTTGAAATACTGAAGCCTGAACAACAGGCCCTGAGTCAAAGATGCTAACTTAGTATATGGTCATTAGTGAAATACGTATGCTCATTAATGAAAGATATAGCTTAGATATCATATACTCATGATGAATGTAATGAAAATGTCTATCCTGAATGTATCTTTCTTCTTCCTTGTGTAGGGGCAAGTTAACAAGGCCATGAAGCCAGCTGTCCAACCTTGGGACCAGACGCATGGCCTTGTTCTAAAAAGAACATAAATAAATTAGATAAACAGGGAAACTCCCTTAGCTTCTCCCTTGAGCCCTGGCCAGGATCTGGGGGAATCTAATGTGAGAGTGAAAACAGGTATTTCCGCTTAAAACAAAGGTGCCAGCTATTCTGGCCTGTCGATCTCTGGTATATAAGGCTGGACCCGCTCACAGCGACTCTGTCAGCCTCACCTATGGGTGGCCGCACCGCGTAGGATTTCCCCCTTGCCAGGACAGGCTCCCCAAACCCTCGCTGTAACCGGGGCTGCCCAGCCACTGCGGGGCTGGGTGATGGGAACGCGTGCAAGTGGTGATGTATTTTTCTTAATTCTCTCTCTTGTGTGGTAATGATTTGATGCATTACCCTGTATTTTCCTATATGTTTGCATTAAGTGCACTATTCTCTTTTCTTACTGCATGTTTTCTTATTACTTTGTTATATTATTTAGTTATTCCCCAATAAAATACGCCTATTCTTTTCACTCTGGTGTCCGAGTTTAATTGATATCCTTAACCAGCAAAACATGTGTATTACACTTTATTTTTAAAAACCCTATATATAATCTTTTAAAATATGGAATATGTGCATGGGCTGGGGTGAGTGCTTGCATTTGAGTGAACTAGGAAAGAAGAGGTCATTCTGTCAACTGAAATTATATTTCTAAATTGTCAATCCACAAAAGGGGAAAAAAGAAATCATCTTTGGGAAGAGGCTGAGCCAGGAAATGTATGA